TAATTACCATCTAAATATACCACATTTTATTCTAAGAAAAGAATATACCACATTTATTTGGTAGCCTAGTTGTCAAGTCTAGGTGTAATTTCACTCTCTTATTTTTATTTTTTTTTTCTGCTTAAACGCAACAATATTACTCCTTTCACCTTCCCCGTCTCTAGCCCCCATCCCTCCACCTGACACCTGATCTGTTTTTGAAGATCAAAGCATATAAGTCAGATGAAGGTCCAAGCAAAAGTTTCACAATATATCGGACTCTCAAAACGGATTCTGCCGTTGCAAGCCAAAAAAAAAAAAAAAAAAAAAAAAAATTGGAAAAGAGGTTGTCAATATATATAGCAACCAATCTGAGACGAACGGAGGTAAAATAATGGTTGATATGCTTGTGTCCAATCTTCCTTCTTTGGAAAAGCCCCAAAGTAAAAGAGAAGAGCCAAAGATTATGTCCAATCTTTTCCATATTTATAAAGGAAAACTAATGAAAAGAGCTTGAAAACTTTGAGTTTTAATGATAAGGACAAAATAAAGGGTAAAGTGAATAGTACCAGGATTGACTTTTTAGTGTAAAAATGTAGTTTTTCGTTAAAGTGAACAGTACCGGGTGCTTTTCGTTAAAGTTCCCTATTTATAATTGATGTTGGTGGCCAGAGAAGCAAGATAACGATGGTTAGATCATAAGATAGGAAGGAGGACGAGGCGATGTAGGAGGCTAGAAAACCTAAACAGTAGAGTTTGATTAATTTCTTAAAATCCTATTAAGAATAGCAAGAATACAATTTTATTAAATTTTATAGCATGTTAGATAGTAAGAATACCATTATTAGGAAGTATGCACCTGCACTAAACAGATGGGATGATGAGTGATTAGCGATGTAATTAAAAACTACAAGTTTGAACAAGTAGGAAATGATGCTAGTTGTCAGACAAGGGCATCACAGTATCTTCATTACTGTTCCTAATCAGGGTCTTATGAGAATAACATGTTTTATAACTTGCATATAAAATACAAATTTAACCCAAACAAAATAAAAAACAAAAAATGCTTAAGCCTCATTTAGAATTGCTTTTAAAATGTCGAATATATTTTTAGAGAAAATGTTATTGAATTCCAAAAGCACTAGATTCAAGTGTTTTTACAGAATCACTTGCAATTTTAGTAAAGATTTGTTTTAAAAATATTTTTATAAAAAACGCTTTCAATGATTTTGAAATCACTTCAAACAAGTCCTAAGTAATTCAACTATATATATTTCCTTGAATTTGAGAAGCAAACGAACCAGCTTGATCAGTACCTGACAACACCAAAGATTTTATTCTTTTCGATTGAATGCTAAAGAATGAGAAAATTTTAATTGTGACGGGTACACAAGTGGTACACCACGTGTTTCAACAGAAGTGGTGGAAAATTTTAATTTTTAAGTTATTAACTTTTTAGCACACATATCCTACCATTTATATAATGACATGTGGTGTATCATCTCGTATACCGATCACATTGAAAAATCTTTCCAAAAGAAAAAAGGAACGCGGTTAATAATCTTATACAAATATGTAGACACATGATTATTCTTCATCTGCAATATAGTAGTTAATTGGTTATCGCTCCTAGCCTCCTACACTTTTTAATGTGCACTGTTTCCTTATAAAGCTAGGTATATGTGCATGAGATTTCATATATGCAACTATTTTAAATTTTGAGATGTAGTTGCACTTGCATATATTGTATACATACTAATCAAATTAAGTAGTAGCTAGTGCATACTCAATCGCTGTCCAATTATATATCTGGACAAATGCAGATATATATGGTTTTGTTTTGGCTAGGTTCCTCATGGGTTTAAGTTGTGGAAACAGTATCCTCTTTCTAAAACAAATATAAAGTTGCGTGCGATAGACGTTTCCACGAATTGTCTATGAGAAATGAGGTGATCCTTAGCATAATGAAAATGTTGCTCATTTGTGACTGAAAGATCAAGGGTTCGAGTTGTGGAAACAACATCTTTCTAAAACAAATGTAAAACTGCATGCGGTAGACGTTCCCATAAAGAATCTTGTTGGCTTGAAGTCACCTTTTAAATGTCTAGCGGAAATAAGAAATTAAGCCAATGGTAGAGAGGTAGCTGTTAAGGAATGAATGTCAATGGTCTAGATCGAGACATATGTCAATTGATTAGTAGAGGAATTAGTTAGTCCGCCACATAGAAAGATTGTCAAAGCCTAACTGTGTTGCTTTCGATATATTAAAAAGTCTCAGGGTGCTCAGTTTAGAGGTTGAACTCTCTCTCTCTCTCTCTCTCTCTCTCTCTCTCTCTCTCTCTCTCTCTCTCTCTCTCTCTCTCTCTCTCTCTCTCTCTTAGTATCTGTTTCTAAAAACCTAGATCTAGAGCCTCTTCTTCGACTTTAACCTTCAGTCGCCGCCCCTTACTCTTGCTCGGGGTAGGCGGGCAACTTGCTACCTCCTCTTTCCAGCCTCCTTCTTCCCTCCTCCTTCTCTTTTTCTCTCCCCTAATTTGCCTTTTACTTCTTTTCCTCCTCTCTCACTTCCTCTGCTCCACCCCTTCCCTGCATCCATCTCTTCCTCTTTTCTTTCTAGTCTTCTTCTTTTGTTTTATTTCCAGTTCTCTTTGAATTTATCTTAGTTTTCCCTGAGATGGGTCTTAACTATCCCCTGGGCTTGTCTCAGATCTGGGCTTCATGCCCCTTATCCGGCATCTTTTGCCTAATTTTACTGCTTTCTATCTTTTAATTTTGTATCCTCCCTCCATAGCTGTGATAATACATCCCCATCCTACCATTTACTCGGATAGCCAGGTTCTGATCAGGAAAAGAATACCAAATCTACTACCTTCCTTCACTTCCCCTTCCCCAACCATCATACATATGCCAGAACCCCATCGAGGCCAAGTGTGGGGTATTTTACATACCCTTAGCCTCACCTCTACTTGTGTGATACTTTGTTTGTATATATTTGCAGAGGTTCATGAAGGGGATTTGGATATGGTGTTTACTTTCTCGGTCTGGAGTTTGACTTCATCCGAGGATGTGACGGCGATGACTGTGGTCTTTGCTGCAGGAGATTATGGTTTAGGGTTTAGGTGGCTATGTGGTCTTTGCTCGCAAAGCCTAACTATGTCAATTGATTTGTATTTGTTTTTAATGAAAAAGTTATCACAGAAGTTCTAGTTGCAGCATTAATGCAAACCCATAGCCTTCGAATAACCTCCAAACCCTAGGACTTCTGAGTGGCTGCTTCATGCTTTTTGGGCTGCACATGAATGAGGCTCAATCTCTATGGGGCCTAAGTGAGAATTTCTACAGAAGATGCATGAAGTTTAATGCTATAGAATTCACCAAAAAATACATTTGCATTACTCCTGAAACATTTATATTAAAATAATATTAAAACCTCATAAATATATTGTTGTAGTAAAAAAAAACTATAAAAGAAGAGTAATGTTAACCATTTTTTGATACAACGATATTATAAAAAGTGGAGATATAAGTCGAACTTGATACAACGTAATTAGCTAATCATAATTAAGTATCAATTTAAAAAAAAAAAATTATACATCTTCACTCTTTATGTAAGTCGAATTTGAGATCTCTTACTTATAAATGAATAGAAGTACCTCTAGACCCTAATACAAATTAGTAATCTTTTTTTTTTTGTTGACAACAGTTCATAAGCCCTAAAGAAAATGAAAGATTACATAAGAATATCACTAGGCCATGAGACTCCAGATCTATCTGCAACTAGCAACCAACGACAAGAAGGAGGAGCTTGCTAAAAAAAGATTGGACCCAAACTGCATGACAAACTCAAATAAACCAAATTATTAACAACAACAAAAAATTCACAATAAATATAACGAATTTCACAAAACTAACTTTAATGCATAAGGTCACGAGATATCGTACAACTAATTAGTAATCTTTAACTAACTTTGGTGGATTACTAATTTTGTTATTAAGTATTGAATTTGTATCTTTGTAATTGAAAGATTGATCAAACCATTGATATAGCACAATAGGTGCTACAATACGTAATACCTAGGGTTATCACAGCTAGTCCCGGAAGGTTTGACTGGTCAAAATTAATTAAACTAAATTCTCTGTCTTTGTGGTCTCTCACACACGTACAATATTGTTTTATAATTATAGTCAAAGTCCAAGGAAGCCCATTTGGGCGGTACTCATTGAGGAACCAGGATCCTCTGAGTAATTTCCTAGAGATTTCGCAATCTTGTCCGTTTATTTTATATCGTGCGGTCAGTTTTCGTTAGGTATTATTTATATTTGAATTTTAAAATTTAAATTTTAAATGATTTCTGACCGCACGATATACGATAAACGGACAAGATTGCGGGATCCTTAGGATCCCTAGGGAATTGCTCAGGAGGGGATCCTGGGTCCTCATTGAGGCCCTAAAATTGTGAATTACATATTGAGTTGTGCAAAAACACGGCAAATGTACTAGTTTTTTTTAATGTGCTCGGAACACATTACATTATATGGTATATAAGTTTTGTATTATAATATGTAGCATGTGGCTGTATTCTTGGCACATTGAAAAATCTCTCTTAAACTACAGTCAGTAATGATAACTTTATTACATATAAAACTTTTGCGCATACTCATACCATTCTTTTCATTCGAACAATAGTCTAATTTGAGCTAAACCCTATACTTGACAATGCCCAGATCTATAATTATGAATTTACGTTTTAAAAAATAAAAAGTTTATTATTATTAAGTGAAGGAAGAATTTGAAAAAATTATATTAATTCATGGCAAGGGAAGCACCTATATGATATTAGTGTATAAAAAAATGGCAGTTTTTTGGTCTGGTATAAAATATGACATGGAAAAGAGTGTTAAAAATGTACAAAACAATAACTTGGAACTGGGAACCACGTGATCACCTTGAGACAAAACACCCCGACCAAGTGATTAATTAACAAAAATTAAACTTCATATTCGAGAAGAAAGAGAGAGAGCTAATGTAATTATTTAATTAATCAAAGCATTTGAAGGGTTCAATTCAGTCAATTAAACGGAAAATTGTAATATTGAGGTTTATTAAATTTTTTGTTGATTATGCTAACACAATGGAGATCTATGAGGAATGCGTTTTCTTCTACTGATCATGTTTGTGGCCATGTCCTCGTCGGAAGCTTTATGAGTTGACCTTCCACATATTGACGCGTAATTAAGCCCGCTTCTCTTCTTTCTGACGACCTCATGATGCATGTATGTCATGTGCAAGCTCATGCCCATGGTCTCAGACCCCCACGACTCTGATGATGACGAGCTCATCGGGTCATCGAGGTCCAGAATTGTGGAATTGGGGTTGGTCTGATCGCTGGTCATCTCCTCGTCTCCCATATCGGAAAGTGGAACTAAGAAGTCAGGACTCAGTTGAAGGGAGTTGCATGTTTTCAAGTAAGGAGAGAGGTCTTTCTTGAATTTAAGCACGTAATCCACCTGATTAATCATTCGAATCAACATGTTCATTAATTAATTAAAACGTTTCAGTTTTCATGAATCAGATAAATTTTCAGCTAGATATATAAGTTATTTACGTAAACCAGGTAAAATTTAGCTATATAAGTTCTGTTGTCACATAAAATATAGATGCCAACATTTTAGTAATTCATCTACATGCATGGAACAAATTAACGCCAAAAAGTAAGCAAAATATACTAGGATATTGGCTAAAATGATCAAAAAATCAAATCTCAATGATTAACTGATCAAGACTAAAAATCGATGACATAGCAATTAGATATCGATAACATAATGAAAAACTGATTATTTTGTAAATGGATCGAAAAAATGATCATTTTGGCCAATTTCCAAATATATTCGTAGTTTTCGTTACCTTGCAACCGAGAGAGCAATGGATATATGGCTCTTGAAGACTTCTATCACACGATGTGCAGTAGTTTCCAGAACCCTTGAATTGCCGATTTTGAGGTCTTTTCTTGATGAACACTACTTTGGCACTATTGATGGTATATGCCTAAAACAACAAACGAAGACTTCAAGTGTCAAACCAACTGAATTGCAATGGCAGAAGTCAATCAATTATAAGCTAGATTGATCATTTTTTTGGCACCAACCTGAACGTTGGAGCAGTCGATGAGCTTCTGAAGATCTTCCAATCGGACAACGTCATGGTAAACGTAACGGCGAATTTGAAGGAGCCTGTGGAATCGATGGGAGGGAAGACAATGGGGGCATATACTGATGCAACAATCCAAACAGCAGACGTTTTTTTCGTTCTTTTTCGCAGTTTCGTGGAATGAGCAGCCGGCGAAGAACTTCTCAGTGTAAAGGGCATCCAACCATGCAGGCTTCTGAATTCCCTATCAAAACAGTTAAACTCAGTTACTCAAAAGACAATGAGAACCATGCAACAGAGAGAGAGAGGGTGGACAGAGACAAACCATGATCACATAGACACTTGAAAGAGAGAGCCCCCGGCCCCTTTGAGCTGTTACCAAGGCGGTGTTGTAAACAGGAAAGAGAGATGGAGAGATAGAGAGAGACCAAGGGATGAAGATAAGTGTATTTATTGAGCTTCACAAGAGAGGAAAGGCGTAATATTTACTCCTTGGGGAGGTACACAACATTTTGTCAATAGTGAGACACGTAACATGAGAGAGAGAGATGTTTGAAAGTGATTTTAGGTCACTAAAAACGCTCTTGACAATATTCAACAAAAAAGAAAGTACTTGACGTATTACTTAGAAGAAACACATGTTATGTGCGTAGGATTTAAGGTTATGTACTTTTTATAAAAAACACTTCCAAATATTTTTTAGAAAGCAATTGAGTTTTTATTAGAAGCATTTTTGAATAAAAGTGCTTTCCAAAATATAATTTCCTAATGGACAGAGCGAGAAAGGAAGTAAGATATGAGGGGAACGTGGGCGCGATTTCCGTGTCTCCCATTCTTTAAAAACCCTATAAACAATTGCTGCTCATCTCCTTGGCTGAAGAGCTCAAATGCTAAACTAACCAAGCCACCTTCTTGAAGGAGCTGCTCAGCCATTCTTACCTGTTTTTTCATTGATTCTCATCCCTTAGAATTGGTGAAATCAGTAGAAACTAGCCACTTGTTGTAAAAACAAAACCCAAAAATTACAGATATTTACCAGCCATCCCTGATTATATAGTTCCATCAGTCCATTCGTTGCGTTCCACTTTGTTGCTGTCAAGTCGGCTAATAAGTTCTTCTTTTTTCTGCTCACTTTTTATAAAATAAAAAACAAGTAGAGGAGAGCAGGAGAGCAGAAATTAGGCTTCCCTTTTTCTTCCCTGATGCTTTTTTTTGTCATTTTGTAACTTACATCACTTGAAAGCTAAGTAATTAGGCCTACAAAAAGAATGAAATTATGTATGATTAGCTTGAAATATTTTTACAATCGTATTTCAGTTTGATCATCTGAATGTTTCATTTAATTTGCAATCCATGTAACTAATATCTAAGATACCATGTCTCAGTCTTTGTAGTGGAGAGAGACTCATCAACATAAGAATGTTATCAGGGACAAAGTTAGAAATTTGTAAGAATAGAGGCATTCTCAAACAACAAGGTACAATTAAAAAACTCAAGAATTTGCACAAAACACTTATATATTAATTCATAAAAAATTTCATACAACATCTTACAATATTCCTCGACGCGTTTTCATGTTTTGAAAGCGTTGCATGACAACATCATTACCAATACCATCAAATATCTCTCTCTACCAAAATAATCATGTTTTCATAATTTATCTATTGATCTCCCATTCGATTTCTCAATTGATTCTTCAGAAATTTCATGGCCGAAAATACTCTTTCAACGGTGGTAGTAGCAACTGGAAGAGTTAGTGCTAATGTCATAAGCATGTAAACTAGCGGATACACCTTGTCTTTTTTCCACTGGACCATTTTTTTCATTTGTAGTTTAATTAGGGCTTGGAAATTGGAATGCAACAGTACACACACAAAATTTAGTGAGGGCGGATGCCCCCTAGACCCTATACAGCTTCGTCCTTAAATGTTATTGTGTCCATATTTCAAATCAATTACGCATTATATCTAGATTATTATGCATTTTAACTTCTTAATTTAAAGTTAATTGTATTTGTGTTGACTAGTATATTTCCAACATACAATAATCCCTCTCTCGTAAGTGCCTACGTGTCTAGTGTAGGTCAGGGTGCTTTTAATTTTCTTCTTCCAAGGCCCTAGTAAATTCCTTTGTACTAATTACCTTCCATTTTCTCATCTCCCACTTTATATTTTGTCTTTCTCTTTATAAAGAAATCAATATAAGATATTGACACGATTTAATCGTAATGTTCAAATAAGAGGGAGGATAGGGAAAAAAATTAGCAGGAGAGAATTTTACTCCGTGAAAATATTAGCATGTCAAAAAACTTGCAGATGTCTACTCATTGGCTTTTGATACCTCAACTATGACTCATGTGACTCAGGTGGTTAAAGGGTTGAAATCAGGGTATTAGTACAGTAGCCTCTGAGGAATTAAACAGGGAAAGGTAATTCGTAAGGAATTAGAGCATTGTTTAATAAGGAAAACTAATGAAAATGGTTTGAAAACTTTAAGTTTTAATGATAAAGACAAAATAAAGGGTAAAGTGAATAGTAACATAATTGACTTTTTAGTGTAAAAATGTGGTTTTTCGTTAAAATGAACAGTACCATGTGCTTTTCATTAAAGTTCATAATAACCTTCTCGGCTCTCTTTTTATCCTACAATTGCAAGAGAATTGTAGTCATCTACGTCCTACGGCACTATTTAAATATTTTTGATTTGGTTGGTTTTCTACAAAATTGATTTTTGAAGGATAAACTTAAAAGTAAAAGATTAAGATCATAGTGCAACATTGTACTATACAAAAGAAAGCAAACAAGTTAGATAAAAAGAAAATATCTAACTGAGAAGGTCGGTATCATCCAAGAACATATCCTTTGCATCTGACCAATACAATTATATGGCAGCATGCCTAATCTGCTAATAACAGAGTCCCAAACAAGACATGTACGAGAAAAAACCCGGTTTTTAGGGAATGAAACATGTCAACAATCAATCAACAACTCCACTAATCACAAGTCCTAGCCTGCAGCTTGCCTCAATAATAATGTTTTTAAAATTTTTCTATTTTTATTTTTTGCAGACAAACATTTGACAGACAAGCACAACTCATTAACCACTAGTTAGGAAAACTAATGACCTAATTAATTAGAGGCTCCCCAGTGTGCTAATTTTGAGGAAGACCTTGCTCATTGTCCCTCTCAGCTCCAAACACGAGTTACCTTGGGGTTTGCAATGCCGATTGTACTAATCTTGTATCATTATTCCCTTTATACCCTTCATGCCTACTGTTTAATTTTGAAAGAGAAATACTAAAGAGGCTGTTTAAAAAATATGACTCTTTCTGAATTTTTTGGCACATAAAAAATTTAACATTATTTTCATGTCAATATTATAAAATATTGTACCAAAAGTATAAGGTGGTAGACAGTTCCACTTTTGAGAAAATCTCTTTCACATTTCTCATTTCGAAATTCCATGTCAGCATAATGTTATCATATGAATTAATAGTTGACAATCAATCATGCATACGTAAATGCTTAACACTGTAATTAATCTTTTGTAGAGAGCTTTTCTCTTGGAGCTGGACATAAGCAAAACTATAATGGTATAAACATGTTCTCAAGATATTTCCTAAATTATAAATTTTGAAGTCTAGTCTCAAACCAGAAAACAAGAAAAATAATTCTTTTGAGGCAGTTCGGTTTGTCCTTTCTTTTCTCCTTTTCCCCCTTCTTAAGCAATGTATTTGTAGGTATGTTGGGGGCCTGGAGCTTCCTGAATGGTAAAATGAAGTGCTAATTATCTACTGCTCCCATTCACTACTTAATGTGATGAGAAAGCTTTCTAACGATTAATCTCAAAAAAATTATACGAAAGTTTGTTTAATAACTATTTCGTTTTTACTTTTAAATTTTATTTTTATGTTAGTAATACAAAGTAAATACATGAGAAAAATACGAGATACTTAAGAATACATGAAGGATGATAGAGATGTGAGAAGTAGATTAAATTTTAAAGGAAAGACACAAAGTCTAACATAAAACAAAAACTACGTTGGTGTTTAAGCTCCATCCCCCTGCTTCATTGCTATTTTTTCTCATAGGTTTTCCTCATATATTAAGCACAAAAATCAAACTAAAAGTCAAATACAAAAATGATTATTGAACGAGCTCTAAAAATAATTTCCTATGAAAATAGCCAACCACTCAGCTTAACTTAGATGTCTACGATGACTGAATATTACATCCACGTGTATGCTTGATGAAACAACACGACTAGCAAAACCCTAGCAGTTACATCCAAAACAAAAAGAAGAAAGTAAGAAAGCTAATTAATCACAGTCGCAGAACCAAAGAAAGAAAGGACAGAAGAGGATGGCCATGGCCAACCCCACATGCCATGAAAAGCAGAAAGGTGTTATAGTAAAGCAAAGAAGGTCACGTGCAAGGGATCCAAAGGGAAATGTCTGGCTTTAAACCCTAAACAAATTTAAACTTGTCCAAAAGCTTAAGTGTATCTTGGGACAGGTCACTCAGACTGACCAACCAATTATTCCTCCTTTTATCGTCCAAAATCAAACGATAAATGTTTCTAAATTAATTGTCATATGTTGTATTATTTTACGTGTTATAATACAAGTGATCGATTAAGTTGATATGTTCAATTTTTAAAGTATTAAAAAAGACACATTTATAATTTAAGTAAAAAATAGTAACAAATGGTGATTATGTTCTGAGTACACGGAAAAACATCTTCTAATGGTGGTCAAAGGTCAAAGATTCAAAGTGAACAGGCTATTCAGAAGAACAAATAGGCGTTGCAGGGTCAGCGGATGAGCCGCACGAGGGGATCTTCCTGCCCCTCTCTGCCCTGTGTGTGGTCTGAGTTAGTTCCATTTGCTTTGTTTGAAAAGGGTTTTCTTTATTTATTTGTCCAGCCACTTCACCACGCCCTATTAGATATTCAGGCCCTTATTTTCAAGGTATTTATCTCACATGGAGAGCCTTTTCCCCCAAAGATTAAAGCCTCAAGAGTCGAGATCATGTGCGTCCAATGACCAAGGCTACAATACAGCATGATGTACTCCAGTACTAAGTTCTATTCGAGGAGAAATTCTGAGTGGGACTTCTGCCTAATACACAACTTTCACATAGAAACGAGATCAGTGTGGAGATAGATGAAATTAAAATACAAGGAATTTATTAGTTTGTGAGGTTGGTTGGACAAAACACATAGCATTTTTCATATATTTTTTAGAAAAATTCAAATTTATTGCTGAAATCTTGTCGTAAACACAAAAGCTCAAGTAAATTGGGTTCAAGTGTTCGTTTTTTTTTTGGTAAAAAATTCAAGTGTTACTATCATACCTTTTTGCTTTTAGGGATAATTTTTTGGATTTCAAAAACACTTGAAGTGCTTCCTAAAAAAAAACACTGGTTATGTGTTTATTGTAGGAAGCACTTTAAGTGTTTTTCAAAAATTCACTTGCATTTTTGTTACAGATTGATACCAAAAATATTTTTACCAAAAGCGATTTCAGCCATTTTAAAAGTACTTCCAAACGAGCTCTCAAATTAAACTGGCTGTTAATCTGTCATTACTATTCAGAAACCACTAATAGAGTTATTGATAATGTATTAATGTTAAGCACGGCTATCATTCTTTATACAGTTAATAAAATACTTCTCATTAACAATGATACCTTCTTCCCCAGATTATCCACCTTTTCAGGTTTTTGTATTCTTCTTTTCAAAAGTTTATGTATACTTGTATATAAATACACTATACAACAACTTCGACAATAAATATGATAAATACATGTACGGAGAAATGATGTTCAAACGGCTCAAACCTAGTTTAAACTCTTAAGGTTTCTGAGCAGAAAACATGATGAAAGCTTGTTGAACGTTGCTCGTGTAGTTGGTGAGACCGCATGATGCACACAAGTCCTCGATCTCCTCCTCCGTTAAATAGTTGTAGCCCTGAAGAGCACTCTGCCACACCAACACCTTAAAATCAATATTTGTTTTTAAGTTTATAACCACCCTTAAACAGACCTAGCTCGCTACTACTAATGAGTCGTCTCTGACGTAAATTCAACTATTTGGATCACAGTAACGATTAATTTTTACTTCATTCGCAACAGACTTAAACAGAACTAGAAAAGAAATGTGGATATTACGCAATTGTTTGTTTCAAACACACATTCTATGACTGCCACATATAGATAGAAAATTGAGAGGTCTGAACCAAATCTAGCATTGCTCACATTTGGTAATCATTGATTAAGTATTACCTCTCTGAGTTGCCGGGTTATCCAGGGAGTAGATGGAGTATACCGCAGAAAAGTGGTTCCAACAAAGACACCACCACTTCGTAATATGCGAGTTATTTCAGCAATCTGAATTAAATGAGATACGAGTTGGAAATTAATAGAAGGCTTGTTGCATCCAAACATGTCTCCATGGAGTAAAACAATGAAAATTTTATGAGATTTGACAGTTTATGACTTTCAGACGCAACAAATAGAGGTCCACCAGTGAAACAGGTGCTACAAGCAAACCACCCGATAGCTAATTTCATTAATTACACCTGAAAAGATGTATCTAATATAGGAGCCAAAGTTGAGCAGACCAGAATCTGTGGTGTACTATCTTTCTTCAGTCGAAAACTGAAGTGTTTTCCATATGAACTAACTCTGCAATGTGCCAATGGCACACATTCTATGGCTTTTGCATTAACAGAAAGCTTGTAATTCCACAAAAGCCGGAATCCTTTACCTAAAGGTTAGATTTCTGATTCCAATTGACCCACATACAGTATAAGATTGTTAGGTTTGTTAACCACTACCTGCTCTCTCTCTTCCTTGCTGACAAGGTATGTACTGCTGCTAGCCTGTAAGAATATTCAGCTAATCTCCTAGCACATGTAGTCCCCCATCCAAAACACTCCATGCAATTCTAAGGGTTTGGCATTAGAATTCAAATTGGTGTCCAAACCCAAGTTGAAGAGCCACTAAGACACACCTTCAGGTCTGATATGAGTGATTTCCAGAAAGAAAAGAAGAAACTTGACAGGTCAAAAGATATCATCCATCTATTTCTCACACACCATGGCACCGTAAGATGCCTACTTCTTTTGGTCACTTGTAAGGAGCCATGGTGTTTACTCACTTTACTCGCTATTTCACATTTCATCTCATATTCCTGATTAACAATGAAGCCAGAATCAAACGGTTTCAGTGGATGTAACACAGCACTTTCACCGTGACTTTCTCACAGGTTACCAAATAGCAGGCAACATGTGTGTAACGGTGTAAGACAATATGCAGTCCTCCTTTGACTTTGCATATTACTAGCATCTCCGATTGCAATAAAAGGAAAAGGTAGCCAACACATTTGTTTTAACACACACAACAAAATCCTTTTGGGAGAAGAGAAACATAGGAAACACATGAAACACAACTTACAGCATTGGAAGGAGAGGGCCAGCAATGCAATGCTGCGCCGGCATGGACAGCATCAACTGAACCCGAAGGGAACGGAAGCCTAGCAACATCCGCCCTCACAAGAGCAAGATTACTGCACTTATTCCAGTGAACCGTGAGCAATGATAAACATCTCATTTCACTACCAAAGACCACATAAACATTGATCACTCAGAAGAACAAACACAAACTTACGTATCTAAAATAGTAGGATCTCTCTTGAAAAATTCATAACTCTGCCGAAGCATGTTCTCCGAAAAATCAAGTGCAACAACTGCAGAATATGTCCCGGATTTCGCAAACTTCCTCGAAAACAAGCCGCTCCCACAGCTGACATCCACCAAAACACCGCCTTCGGCGGATTTAAAGTAGTCCTGAGCCATCTTAAACTGCAAACCACGTAAGAACCTAAACTTGCTAAGCAAACCAAAACTCAAAATTAAGCAAGAAAATTAACCCAACTGACCAAAAATTTAGCAAGAAACCACATTTACCAATTTACCTCTTCATCGGGACCCGGAAATCCGCTGCGGTTAAAATTCTGGCGCCAACCCCTTTCATACAAGAAGGAAACGAGAGGGCTCCGGAACAACTCGGTCCGGGTCGGTTGTACCTCAACGTACTCCTTCAACCCAGCAGTAACAGTAAGGTCCAAGTAAACGTCTTTGCTCGAATACGTCTTGTCGCATTTCCTGCACTTGAACCCCGACCTGTAAATTGCTCGCCTGCAAAATTTGCAAATCACAAAACGAAATTGAAACACTTACGACGCCAATTTCAAGCAAAAGACTGAGGCTTTGTGTCGTACTGTTACTCACAGATTGAGACCCGGCGGCCCCCTTCGGATGAGTGGTTCGTAGCATATTGGGCAGGCAAGCACCTCGAGGTCAACGCCGGAGCTTTGGATTTCCTCGGCCCTCGACCGCCGCTCCTGCAATATCGGAAATTTGAAATTTAAATGGAAAAGGATGGAAGCGGAAAGGGAGAGGGCAGAGGATGAGGCGGTACCGGCGGGAGAGCGACGGTGGAGGTGGCGCGAATGGGGTGACAGTGATGGCGGGAGGGGCGGCGGAGACGGGGAGGGCGGAATTGAGAATTGTGATGGAAGGGAGGATAGTTTAGGGATAGAAACTTTTGGTGGAGAGTGGAGGAGGGTGTCGTCGCCATTGGAGAGATTTTGATTCTCTGCTGCTGCTGCTGATGCTGATGTTTTTTTTTTTTTTTTTTTTTTTTTTTTTTGAAAATGGCGGATAGGTAGAGTTGTAACAGAAAAAAAATTGGCGGATAGAGAGACACGGAGGTAATACGACATCACTCTCAAACACGTGCGGGTCACATGCTAGCAGTATAAAAATGAATTTTATTGCCAAAAAAAAATTTTGATTTGCCCCAGTTTTACGTAATAGTAATAGGGTTGGATCAAATTTCGTCTGTAAGTTTATCTTACGATGTTGGTCACAAGTGCGGATAAAAGAGGATAAAAAGTGCATTAGATTTTGACAGCCGACATTCTGTTTTTTAAATTGAATTCTTATGATAATGGTTGTTGGTTGTTGTAATTGGACTGGATCAACTAAAAAAGAGTAACGAGTGACTCAATTTTCATTCGAGCAACTACAGCAGTACGACCACCACCTTCACCTTGATCAGTAACGTAGTGAAAGTAGTCCATAGCCGTTTTAAACTGCGTACGTACGGAGGACACAATTAACAAGCGTAGTATGATATATGACTAACATAGTGTATGCATAGAGTACTCTTATGTATAGCGCGAATTGCGTACCTCTTGATCCGGACAAGGGAAGCCGGTTTGGCCAAAATACGGACGCCAACCTCTTTCTTACAAGAAGGAAACGAGGCGATTTCTGAAGAACCCAGTCCCGGCGGGATTGGGCGCAATGTACTCCCTTAATCTGCCGTGCTAACAGTAAGATCCAAGTAAATGTCCTTCTCTTTGCTCCTGCTACTGCTGTTATACGACTTGTGGCATATCTTGCACTCGAAAGCCGACCTGAATATTGCTTGCCTACAAAAATATAAACAAATAACAAAAAAAAAATGGTACATTTTTTACACCAATGAAGCTTTTGAGACCAAGAGGGCCTTTTCGGATGAGGGGTTCGTAGCAAACAGGGCATGCTAACAGCTCAAAGCCATTGCCGGAGCTTTGAGTTTCGGGTTGGAAAGTAAGTAGGGAGCTTGCATTTCCGGTTTCCGTTGCTTGGTGAAGAGACGAAGAAGCCATTGTCACAAAAACTAGTACTACTAGTACTATACTTTTTTTCTTCTTTCCCAAAATAATGTTCATTCGTAAAAAGTTTACGTCAATGTGGCCTTATTCGTTGGATTAAATAAATTAGAAAAAAATCGATGGACATAAACAAAGGAAAAATTGCAAGAGGATAATATGCGAAAATCATTTTCCTAAGCGCATATTTGAACCTAAAAAGTTCTTTTAGCTATTGATCCATCACCTTTAGATTATAAGTTTATATATCCCATTTCTCTTCTAAAAATGACTACTGCATGATACAATAATCAAATCTTAAGATAATTACAAAAACAGAACTTAAGATAAAATCACTCAAATCTACTTGCAGATTAAACAGATTTAGAAAACTAATTAGATGCTTAATTACATACGAAAATCTTTAAAATAAGCACCCTCCTTGTCTTGGAATTTCCTATATGGCTCTCTCCAGAAAGCAGTTTTCGATATAAAGACGATGACTTCGTTCCCTCGCGTAGATAACCCAGAAGATCATTGAAAGCACCAGAGCTGCAGACACCATTGCCAAACCAATGTAAATCCAGCTGCTGTGTTTTTCCAAACCATGACACTTCCCACTGCTTATGTCTCTGAATGCATCCCTAACAGATCTGCAGGATTGCAGATTCGTCAAGAATTTAACGTAACCGTAGAGTACGTAGCTCAGATTTGCAGTAGTTTCCATTTGTCCGTACAATGTGGGAGTCAGCCAGCTGCCCGGTTTTGTACAAGTACCAGCCTTTGAAACCTCACACACATATTTCTTCCATACCTGCTCAGAAAAAAAATGCCGGTCTTAGGGTATATGCAGATAGCACAAATTTTTCAAGAAAGCACTTTTAGGAGAAGCAAGTTCTTTTTCAGAATGCACCTGGAAGTGCTTCCTAAGGGTATGTGCAAACAACACTTCCAAGTTCTTTTACAACCCTAGAACATTTCAACTCTTTTTTGCCAAACATTATCTGAAGAGCTAGTCTCGTTTGGAAGTCCTTTTAAATGGTTAAAAGTTCTTATAAATAATCAAAAGAACTTTAATCTAGTGCCTCTGGATTTGAAAAGCACATGAAAGTACTTTCTAACATATGCACTTGCAAGTGTTTTTTTAAGCAAGCACTTAAAAAGTTTTATTAAAAATTCGACATGCTTCTATAGATGCGCTTGCAGTAAAAACACTTAAGAGTAGAAGATGTAGGCTTCAATTTTAGATACTTATATAATTTGTATTACCTGCGTGGCATTTTGCAGTGGCACTTCACCGGAGATACAATGTCGGTCGATGAGATTTGAATGGAAAGGGTTGCAAAGAAGAGGTACAGGTCTGTCTAACTGATTGTCGACATTCGAAGCATTGGTTATGACATGGTTAACCACGGTAACAAGCTGGAAGGTTGCATCCTTGGTGCGCAACGCAGCCTCCTGGGCAGTAGCATGGTCCACACATGGGAGTATATCGTCAAATGCAGTATGAGGTTTAGGGTTCTGAACCCATTCATCCATGGCGACACATGCATCTCCAATCGCACTATGCAACATAGGAAAAGAAGTCACATGGAGGACAAGCTGAAAATTAACTTCTAAACTAGAAATCCTTCCTACTAAAGCAGTGACAAACTGTAGTTACTTGTGGAGGACAACAAATGCACCGCACAATATGAACGCTAACGTGACAAGAATCCACCCGACAATCACCAAGCTGCACACAAATGAAATGTTTGAGTACTTTCTTGTCAAGCAAGCAACTAAAGAGCAAAGATTTCATGGTTTTTATCACTTACATGTGTACACCAACTTGCTTCCCTAGGATCGAAAATACTGCAACAAGTAGTACAACGTGATTAAATGCCAATTAATTCTCGAGTTCTCGAAATTAATTCCTCCTAAATTGAAAGAAAATAAAAGACTTACAAATTCCAAGCAAGGCCAGAAAGATCATAGCTGCAACAAGGTTAATGAGAAGGATCCTCCTGCAAAACATTGTAGCAAATACATATGTTATATGATCCAACCAATTGTCCGATTAATTTTTAGAGCTTGTAGAATATATATCTATTTACATGGTATTTAAACTATCTTTTATAGTCTTTAAATTCTTTTTTGTTCTATCAGAAAGTGTAGCTGCAGAAGCGTCAATTTTTGTTACGATATTGTCAATTTTCTTCTGGACATCTTCTGGCAGAAACACAGCATCAACTCCAATCCGCTTAGCTGCACTGAGATTATATGACACATTCCTGAGCTTTGCAGCAGTTGTATTTGCCTGACTAACAACATGGTTCAGTGCATCGGTTGAACTTCCCTGGAACTTTCCTTGACCGGAGAACAAAACAATGAATCCAATGCTGGAATGGACGGTGCAAACGGTAAACAAAATCATCAGTTCATACAAATCATAGGCAAAAATTGTCCGTGCACGTTAGATGTGTGCGCGCTCAGGAATAAGGAGAGAGACATACATTGCGGCAAGGGTGAAGAAAACGAGGAAGATGGGAGAGAGAGCATAAGCTCTTCTAGAATAACCATAAGGCTCTTTAGGGCGACAGAAGTTGCAGATACAGGTTAGGCACAAGCTTATCCCGAAAATCTTGAACCATACGACAGCAATGACAAGGAAGGGCGTCGCGGTATAGTTAACAGACTGCATCATAAATTCGTAATCAATGTGCAAAAATATATTACGCAACATGATCAACACAATGTCCCAAACAAGTACATATGAATAGTCATTCATAAGTTTTCATAGAAACCGAAATAATAAGAAGTACAAAGAAAACTCACAGCCCAGTAATGTTCATTGCTGATGTTCCAGCCACCGGTGTATCTCTTAAATCCGTCACGAGGGTCTTTCCGGCGTGTCCTCTCCCTAGACAATATCATCAGAGGTGCGTTTCGGGGAGTTTTTTCTTCTGCTAGAGACCTTCTTGTGCCCCAAGTCACCACCACCCCACCATGCTCTCTCTGATCACCACCATCCCCTACAATGCCAACACGAGCACAAACCGTAAACAAACACATTAAAGATCAAAATATAACACAAAAGGAAGCATTTTCGGCAACGAAAAGAGACTAAAGCAGCTGCGATACAGAACCTGTTGTTTGCAAAGTGTCAGAGTTTCCGAAACCGAAAGAAATGAAGAAGGAAAGGGAGAGAAAAAGAAGCAACGTTTTTGATGTGAAGCATAACATTTTTTTCCACAGAGAAATGGATGGAGAAAATACAACTGATCAGTTGAAGTGAATTTGAAGGAACCCAGATAGCAAATATTGAAGATGCTTTTTTTTACAGTTCTACTTGGATAAGATCCCTTCAACGATCCTAAGATTTCAACTGCTTTTTTGAACTCCACCCACCACCACTCCCACTACTTGCTGAGTTTAACCGCAACATGGAGAGAGAGAGAGAGAGAGAGAGAGAGAGACTTTTGTTCGATGTTACGTGTTGAATTATCTGCACACTCCACAAAGAGTTTAATTGCACGGATTATTAGGATTTTGTTTGGTTTTAATTTGACCATGGTCAATGAGAGTATATATAAGCACGTGTGGTGCTGACAAAAAAACGCACATGCAAAGAGGCTAGTATATTTGGTTCGCGGCGGTTAGATTGTAAAGGGCATTGTTTATCTGAACTTCTAAAGTGTAATACTACCAAGCTCCAAATATTACTGCTTTGTCTAATGGAGTTTCTGAGGAAGCACAAATGAGTACTGCATAGCAATAAAACCAAACCACAATGTACAAAAGAACTCCGAAGGTAAAATCACTCGAATGTACATGGACGAAAACATATTTTTACCCAACTCTTATACATGGAAACCTTTAAGCACCCTTGTCTTCGAATTCCTCGGCGGTTTTAGCAGATGCAAACTTTTTAGTGTACACCCGATGCCTTCGCTCCCTTGCATAGATCACCCAGAAGATCAGTGACAACATCACGGCTGCAGATACCATTACTAAGCCAATGTAGATCCACTCACTATGTTTTCGCAGACTAGGACAATTGTTTTTACTTATGTCGGTGAACGTAACCCTAACAAATGTGCAGTCTTGCAGATCAACCAGGAATGGACCGTAACGATACAGACCATAACTCACGTTTCTTGCAGCTTCCATTTGGCCATACATGGTTGGATTCAACCGGCCAACTGTCCTACAGATACCAGTTGCAGAAGCCTCGCAGACGTAACGCTTCCATACCTGCTTGAAACATAAAATGCGAATCTTAGTAGTTTTTACCGAACTAACAGAAAGATGTAGGCAATGTTTAGATCAACTTAGATGCTTCATTACCTGGGTGGCATTTTTCAGTTCCACCTCACCAGGGGCACACTGTCGATCAGAGAGGTCAGAATTGAAAGGGTCGCAAAGAACAGGTAGTCGTGGGCCAGACTGATTAAAATATAAAGGTCGGGCAATAGGTGGATAATTAACGTTTGAGACGTTGTTGATGACACTATTAACCACAGTAACAAGTTGGTGGGTTACATCCTTGGCACGTATCGCAGTCTCTTGGGCAGTAGCATTGTCCACACATGGGAGGATATCATCTAATGCAGTGTGAGATGTGGGGTTCTGGACCCACTCATCCATGGAAACACATGAATCTGCAACCACACTATATACATAGGACGAGAAGTTAGAGGAACAGAAGACAGATTAGAAAACAACACAACAGATCAGTCATAAGCTAGACCGAATGACACTCATATCATGAATTTGTTCTTATGAGATAACCAAGATGTAACCCTTACAACGAACATAGGTGCAACTTAGAAAGTAATATGATGTGTGATCATAACCAAATAGTACTTACTTATGGAGAAGGAGAAATACACCGCATAATATGAATGTACCCGCAACAAGAACCCACCCAACAATCACCAAACTGCATAAAAGAGGTAAGTGGATGTGAACAAATGTTTGAGGACTAGGATACAAATGCTTCCAAAATTTGAAGATGTTACAATAAAAAGGAAACAGCTTTCACTTACAAGTATACAAGGGCTTGCCACCCGAAAATGGAAAACACTGCAAGTAGTAAAAAGAAGAAAAATATAAGAATAATAGTAAAATCTTCAAAATCTGTGCCTCTAATCAAAGGAAAGTGAAAAGACTAACCAAATCCAAGGAAGGCCAAAAAGAGCATAACAGCAGCAACAATAATGAGAGCCAGTCCCCTGCAATATATAGCGAGAGACAAATATTACACACAGCATTGTGAGCACAAGTTCCAGAACTTTTAGAACATACTTACACGCTATCCAAGACATCTTGTATACTCTTAGAATTCTTTTCACTTTTATCATCAAGTGTACTGGAAGCAGAGTCAAGCTTTGTCCTAATATTGTCAATGTTACTCTGAACGTCGGAAGGCAGAAATACAGAGTCAACCCCAACCCGCTTAGCTGCACCAAGATAACCTGACAAATTCCTGAGGCTTTCAACAGTCTTATCAGCTTGACTCACAACATAATCCAACGTCTTTGTTGTGCTGCTGTGGAACTTTCCCTGACCAGTGTACAGAACAATGCATCCAACACTAGGGACCAACATAAAAATTAAAGGATGTCATCAGTTCACAAAAAATATAGTACTTGTCCATTGGTATCAAATATAGTTACCATGAACTGTGGAGAGAGGGAAGGAGAGAGACTTACATTGCCGCAAGGGTGAACAAAATAAGTAGGATGAGGGAGAGAGCATAGCATGTTCTAGAATAACCATAAGGCTCCCGTGGACAACAGCAGTAACAGAGACAGATAAGGGACAAGCTCAGCCCAAAAATCACAAACCAGACAGCAGCAACGGCAAAGAAGGGAACCGCAGTGAAACCAACAGACTGCATAAAAAATTAATAACCAATGTTAGCATACCATTCAGATACGTATTAAATATACATCCAATCTCCAAACAAAGTCCAAAAGAAAAAAAAGGATTTGAGAAACAACGAAAAGATATGATATCATAATTAGTCAATGGATAACATTCTCGGAAGCGTTCAAGGCCTGCATAAAGACAGGATACCGCACAAAATAATTTATTTGTGAACAACATCATGACAGAGTTCAAGGCCTGCATCTTTTAAGTATAAAGACATGGTCTTTCTTTCAAAGCATAAAAATCAACTGAAAGACAATTACATACCAAATTAGTTTTAAACAAAACCACAACGTAAGTAAAAAATCAACAAAATAATGTTGTGATTGCATTAATCATAGTTGGGGTGCAGAGAGGGGTATGGTTCATCGTTTGATTCTAAGTGCAAGGAAGAGGAGCTCGGGTGCCTCAGCCCCTCCAAGGACTTTCAGCTGAGGAAAAATTCATACCGCAGCAGATATAGATGGCATTTGCTTGGAAAGTCCAAGTCTTCATCCAATTAAGTTCTTAAGGAACATTTAGTATAATTCAATCATCCAACACAGCAGCAAAACACCCCCAAAACAACAGAATTATACCATAGCTCATAAATTCAGAAAAACCCAAATCACAAAAATAACAAAAAAAAAAACAACTAAATTATAAAACTTAATCAAAAGAGTTGAGAGAACTCACAGCCCAGTAATGCTCATTGCTGATATTCCACCCACCATTGTATTTCTTAAAACTATCAAGTGGGTCCCTCCTGCGCGTCCTCTCCTCAGCCAACAGCAGAGACGAGTTCTGGGCAGTTCCGCTTGCAAGCGACCTCCTTGTTTCCCATACTACCGACCCACCAGCATCATCATCCCCTCTCCCACCACCTGAAACAATCATAAAAGTAACCCCAAATTCAAGATTCAAGATCCCATTTCCTCAAAGAACAAAAGAAACGAAAAAAAAAAGAAAAAAACTGTTTCAGAAACCCCTCTGTACCTGTGTGGGAAATGTGAGAGCTTGCTGAAGTGAAAGCAACGAGGAGGCAAAAACCGAGAAAAAGGAGCAAACTTTTTGGTGGGTTCGATCTAAAACCAGGCATTTTGAATTGGGTTTTTGAGTTTTTAGATTGCAGACGAAGAAAATTTCCAGAAGGATAGAGGAAACGTTTCGGAAATTATCAGAGGAAAGCCGCGTCCATTTGCTTATATCCGTTTGCTTAACGAGAGAGAGAGAGAGAGAGAGATTTGATAATTTACTACTGTTTTTCTTTCAAGCTGTGTTCTTGTGGTCCTTTCGATTTCCACGGACAGCAACGGGCACTGACTCGCAAATATACTCTGTCGGTGTTTTTATCATGACGAAATTACCCCTTTTATATTTTTCTCTGTTTCTCATTTAGATTTTAATTATTTTGTGTAGAATAAAATATTTTTTAGAATTATGTTTGTTTGCTTTGTTTTTGGGGAATAAAATGTTGCGAATAACAGTGTATTTGAATTGCGAATAAATACGATACGTCACATATCATTATATAATTTGAAAGATATTTGTAAAAAAAAAAAAAAAAAATTCAATTGTATAATAACATTTAATGTACCATCTATGCTATGAGCTCAATAAAAAATCTTGTAAAACAACAAAATTAATTACTCAGGTTTTCAAATGTAAAATTGGACATAAACACTATCATTTAAAAGCAAATCTTGTTTTATAAGGTGACAAGACTCACAACCACCTCTCTTTTGAAAAAAAAAATGAAAAAAAACTTTATTTTGTAAAAAAAATAAATAAATCCACAAGGATCAGCTTTACTTTAAGAACTTTTTTTTCCTTTTCTTAATATACCAATTATAATGTGTGTGTTTTGGTAAATGTATGATTTATTGGGAAAAAAAATTCAATATGTGGAAACACGATCTCATACATCAAGTGTAATAATATAATTGGTTGGAAACTTGAAAAAAATATTATGACATTTGATATACCGGACAATGTTTCTGACACACTGAAAATCTTCTATTTGTTGTAGCTCAAAATATCTAAGTAATTACTGCTTAAGTAGGTGGCCAAAGTTTTTGATAAAACAGCAGTCCTGATATATTGATTAGAGAAGAAGAAAATGGACAAAGGTAATGAAAATTTGCTCAAATTAGTGGAGCGTGACAGTGTGTTTGCCTTAATGAAGCTCAAGAAATTTTGTACCAAGCAGGAGTTTGTAGCTGAGTTGTTAAGATTATTTATTGAGCTAAGGTTTCGAGTTCAATTTCTCGTCCTTCGATATTGATTTTATAGTAAAAATAATTTTCCCTATAATACTAAGAGGGTTGTATTCAATTAGGATTATGTGAGATTTTAAAGGAATTTGAAAATTTATTGGTATTCAATTCAGATTTTAATTGAATCAGTGAGATGTAGGTTGTATTCTGTCACATCCCCGCCCGGGCCCCCACCACATCTTGGGCTCGACTCCGTCGTAGCACGATATTGTCCGCTTTAGGCCCCGACCATACCCTCATGATTTTGTTTCTGGGAGAACTTCCCAGTGGGTTACCCATCATAAGATTGCTCTCATGTGAACTCACTTAATTTTGGAGTTCCAATGAAATCCGATGCAGGTTGTATTCTGTCACATCCCGCCCGGACCCCCACCACATCTTGGGCTCGACTCCGCCGTAGCACGATAGTGTCTGCTTTAGGCCCCGACCATACCCTCATGATTTTGTTTCTGGGAGAACTTTCCAATGAGTTACCTATCATTATATTGCTCTCATGCGAACTCACTTAACTTTGGAGTTCCAATGAAACCTGAAGTCAGTGAGCTCCCAAAATGCCTCGTGCTAGGTAGAGATGGGAATATACATATAAGGCTTACAGGATCCACTCTCCTAGGCGATGTGGGATATTACAATTCACCCCCATTTGGGGCTCGACGTCCTCATCGGCACACGTTCGATCAGGGATTGGCTCTGATACCAAATTGTCACATCTCAGCATGGGCCCCCGCCACATCTCGAACTCAACTCTGTCGTAGCACGATATTCTTCGCTTTTGGCCTCGATCACGCCCTCACGGTTTTGTTTTTGGAAATTCACAAAATAACTTCCCAGTGGGTCACCCATTATGGGATTACTCTCACGTGAATTCGCTAAACTTCAGAGTTCCGACGAAGCCAGTGAGCTCCCAAAATGTCTCATGCTAGGTAGAGATGAGAATATACATATAAGGCTTACATGATCCACTCTCCCGAACGATGTGAGATGTTACATATTCAATTTATATTTATAAAGAGTCAGTCTGGCGGTATTCAATCCATATTCTTATATTGACTTTCCAAATTGGTGAGTATTTAAAAAGTCAGGGAATTTATTGGATTCAATAAATTTATTGATTTTGATGTATTCTAGAGCGTGAGGTATAAATATCAAAGGTCCTCACAAATCAGGCACCCTCCTCCATATTTCAACTTGATTTCTCCTTCAAACCCAACCACATAATATGAACAGCTTCTTCAAAAACCTTTCTCTCGGTATTACACACAATACGATATGTGTTTTTCTCAATGATTCATTATGAGTATGAAAATTTTGATTACATAATTTTTCTTTTTATTTCTGCGACTTTATAACTTGCAAGACAAGGACTCAACAATTTTATCAATCATGTCTCAGAATACAGGTTTTACATGATTTTTCATCTAGTTTGTTAGATGATTCATAACCCTTTGGGATTAATGTGTGTTGCTTAAAAATTAATGTCAGTGCTAGCTTCGTCTAATTTCGAAATGGGAGATTTACCTTAAGGAAGGGGCAAACAGTATAACCAATGGTCCTCCATAGAAAGCCAAACTTTGTTGGAACTAATGGTTGATGCTGCCAAGCGAGGATGGCGTGATGCTAATGGTTCGTTTAGCAAGCAATTAGTAGAAACGATGATATTTCCTGTTATTAAGGAAAAACTTGGGTGCAACAAAAATTATAGTCAATATACGAGTCGGCTGAGATGGATGAAGCAACAATATCAACATAATGCTAAATTTTTGGCAGACCCAGATGATAAAGTCTCACGGTATGTTGTGTTTTTTTTTTTTTGCTTGGATTGGATGGTTAGAGCTCAAAAGAAAAAGAAAAAGTGAATAATTTGAGAGGCAAAAGTTTAGCCGACCGTATAATATGTGCAAGAATTGAATGTGTGGCTTGCATTCCAATAAGTTCAATAAAGATTTTACTCTTACCAAAAAAAAAAAAAATTGCCCAATGAGTCTATTAGACTCTATAAAAATCCATTGAACTTCATAACGGAATTCATATCAAATTTTTTTACAATGCACCGGATTCTATGTGAATCAATTAAAATCCATGAAATTCATGGAAGTTAATAATTACATTAAATTCTCTCAAATTCTTAATTGAATACACCCTCCTAAGTTGTTAGTCAAGTTATTCAAAGTCCATTGTATTATTAGAAATTATTGACTATAATGGTTCTTTATAGCAAATGAAGAGGGTATAATTGCTATTAAACTTGAATGTGAACCATCACAAACACATGATAATTATATTTGAACGGTTCAAAAAAATTAGAGCCTTAAATTAACCAAATATTAAAAAATAAAAGAGGAAGAAAACTCGATAACGTGATTGGAGTGATATGTATTGGTAACAAGAAATGTTTGATGTGTTTGTAAAATTAAGAACAAGAATGAAACAAAAACTATGCAAACATTCAAGGAATCAATATTTTTTTGATCTCGCGGTTCAAAGCCGATGACAGAATAAACTGAACAACTCCTTTTAAATTTTACAACTCTTAATAACTCATCTTACTGGTGCACCTCATAAACATCATGGGCTCCAATTTTTCTATCTCAATTTTTTAAACAGTCAAATTATGTGCTCCGTTTCTTCCGACCTTAAAATTTAGAGATAATTTGAATTAACATTCAAGATGTATGAATTGTGTGGTCATGAATACACACATATATATATATATATAGTTATTTTTTTTTTCTTCGATGAATTGGGACCATTTCTTTTTGTGGTCGAATTGGGTGACAGCCAAAATCTTATCAATAAGATAATTTGGACATTAGCAACTTTAAGATGAAATCTTTGTCTTTTTTATTCCAAACCGATATCATATCTTACTTTGATTTCCGGAAAAAGATAAAAACTAAACTTGAGTTTAAAGCGTCTTATTCAGTATTATGACTAATTGATTTAACTTGCGTTTAGACTAGTACACTATCTGATCTGAATCGTGTGTGTGTGTGTGTGTGTGTGTTAACTTATGATTATTATCATTAAGAGAAATTTAGTAGCAAAACAAAAATTCTTAAAAAGGAGACGAGTTGGAGGATTTGCCACAACAATCCACTTTTTCGGTAGCTGAGAACACTCACAGAGGCTTCATTATGACAATTCACTTTTTCAGCAGCCAGAAGACTCATAGAGGCTTCATCACGACAGTCCACTTTTTCGGCTGTCAGTAAGATTTACAGAGGTATTTTAACCTACCATTGACCACAATCGTATGATTAACGAGTGTCATGAGTCAAAAACAAGACCCGTCGTATGTAATACGACCTGCAATTCATCACAAATCACTGGATCACCGCGTGATGATTACTTAGCAGCAAAAGTTGAATATTCTGAAATAATTTGAATAATTTTTGTGCATATAATATAGTTTTGGGTGGTTTTTGTGTAAATGGCATGCATAATAATATAAAGTTTAGGAGTGTGAGGTGTTGGAAACACACTGCATCATCACGACACACGTTTTCCTTTGAAATCGTCAACCTTACGTTGACATGCCAAAATTAATATACATGTGACATGCCAGCTATAGAGTTCTAAGGATTTATTTGATAATATTAAAACTAAGATGTTCATAACACGGAATTGAATTATAGTTTCTGTTGGCCAAACCAAACTAAAAAGCAATCTCTTTTTTTTTTTTTTTTGGACAGTAAAAAGCAATATCTTAATTCTTATTTTCATGTGGATGGATTGGCAATGTGCATCATTCCATGTGGTTGGCACTTTTAATAGTGGTGGCAGGCTGAAGTTTGGACACAAGAACGTTATGTCGCAATTGGGAAACTTAGAAACATGTACGGGCTCAGTAGGCAAATCACAGGTATGCATCTCACAACTCGTGCAACGGTTAAATTTAAGGACTATGATTCTCTCCCCTCCTTTTTTCATCCCCTTCCATCCCCTCCTCTCACATTCTCTTATTTTATCTTTCTCTTGTTATAAAATATAAGATGTTAACGTGGCTTAACCGTGACCGTTCAAATAGGAAGGAAGGGAAGGGGAGGGAAATAAAAAGAAGAGAGAATCCTACTCCAAAATTTAAACTTTGAAAGTCGGTTTATACTAAAAGAATGGTCCACATTATTAGCTCCTCATTATGGAGAGATTTTTAAGTGTGCCTCGGAACGCGGACACATACACTATATGTCGTTATCCAAGTGGAGGGACATTTGAAAAAAAATAAAAAAATTCTTTCACTTATATAATAACATATAATATACCATTTCGTGTTTTAGACACATAAAAAATTATCTTCTCATTATGGGGCTCAAAAACACCAACGACCCTACATAATGGACTTTAAATTGGCCCAACCCAAGAAATGAGATGGTGGGCAAACTTGAAATAGATCTGTGATGCATGGAATAAAAAACCCACAAGGGGATATGAGCTCAAAACACAAGGCCACAAGAAACTGTCTAAACTGTCTGAGACCATATCAGTTCACACACTGCAGTCTGCAGCAATGACTGCATTCTTCCAAACTCTGCTTCCCAGTTGTTCTTCGAGACCGACCATAATAGCCTCTCCTATTCCATGGGTTCCCCTCAAACCAATCTCAGATTCCATGGCCTCTTTGGCCATTTCACAGTTAAACAGGCAGCAGGGACAGACGGCAGTATCAGTTGCCTTCAACCCATCTAGGAATTTTGACATCTCTTCATATGATGAAGAAGAAGGTATGACCTTTCCTTAATTTGGTTTCTCCGGTTAATGTTTCTGTCCCTTCATCTTTGTAGTAATTTTTATTTGATGCTAACAATCACATACTCTTTTAAACGAGTAAATTTTCAATGTGGTTGTTGCACTGCTACATATTATAACACGTGTATCTATTTATTAATATGACGATTTAGCGCAAATGAGGGAGAAAAATGAAAAAAACTATTAATCCAATGGTCAAGAATCCATTTATATCTCATCTTACGCATTAGTATTGTTACTACACCTTGGAAACACACTATCTTTGTTGTCCACTCATATTTAACATGTAAACTAGTAGCACAAAGGGGCGGTGCGACCATCACACTCAAAATTTGGGTGCTTTAATAAGATATAGAAGACACAATATTGGATATGAAAACTTGATTAAATCTGGCTCTAAAATGTTTGTTATTGGCAGACACATCTAGCAAAGTTGAACCTCCAATGCCACCAAGTGAAGGCCGTTTCGAAATAGTTATTGACAATGATATAATTCGAGGTCTTGATTTATCTCCATTTCATACTGCAACTAGGATTACCACTCCTTCATCAGGTAATTTAATTAACGAGTTAAGCATTAGCTGAACAAAGTTAAATTTCATGATTGACTTTTATGCAAACCCTAATGGAGTTTTACTACCATCAACTACACGAGAGAAGATTCGCGTGATCCTCGAGAACTATCCGAATTCCCTGCATAAGGCTCTGGTTTTTGAGACTTGATGGCTCTTATCCCTGGCTGCTAGTCCTCTTGGATTGGCGCGCTGGAGAGCTAGCTCGTTATGGTGCCATGTTGATTCACACCAGGTAGCATAATCTAGGGAGCTTTTATTAGCGCTCTGGGCAGTGCATGATGAATATTTTGGAGCGCTATTAATAGTTCTTTGTAATTTGTTACAATGCCATTGTGGAAAAGTTGGAGAGTGTGATGCTTATTCAATGGCCTGACTTTTGAAATCCCTCATCTTTGCAGATGAACATGAGGATGGGAGTTGTCTTCAACGCCGAGGCACTCAAGCTGTTCGTCATGCAGACATTCCAAAACCTAGATTGAAGACTAGTGACATGGCTAGGATGCTAGGTTTTGGGATTGGAGACGAACTTTATGACATGATCAACAAGCATCCACTGAAAACATCATAAAACAAGCCTAATGTCTCAACTTAGTGTTCCCTCAATGTCATACAGGATTGATTAAGAACGAGGCTAGGTGTTGATGCGCGTCTAGTTCACTGTCAGGAGGAGCTGCACACCGTATCCTTTGGCAGTGGCAGTAAACCAATATCAGAAAGAAGCTGCTACTATGATCGATGATTTTGCTACAGCTGTTTTTTCTAACTTCAATTTTTTATACAGGTTTGATTTACTGTACTTCTTAGAATGGTAATTTAAAAAATTCTGTTTCTGTTCATCTTGTTATCGTGCATAGAGATACATTTCGTACATAAAGTTCCAATCTGCACGAAAGAGAAATTTTTTGAGCATGTACATGAGATTCCTCATTGTTTTTTTATAAATAATCTGTACATTTACCAGACAAAAAAATGAAAGTAAATTAAACTAGCCTGGCGAAATTGAGAAATCGCCAAATACTTGGTCAACTTCATAAAAAATTAATTAGTTTACTGACTTTGAATGTGCGAAAATGAGGGTAGCTTAGAACTTAAACCAGGAGATTTGCACATAGGACAAACATTTTTATGCCCTAGCCATTGCTTAATGCAAGAAATGTGGAAGCCGTGTCCACAGTCCAATGTTCCTAGCTCATCCTCCTCTACAAAATCCTCCTGACCGATGCTGCAGAAGTCTTTCTGAACATTTTCTTCTTTAAACACAAAGTAATTGCTGCGTTTGAGAGACGTGACAGCTGCTTCCTCAGATAATCCTGTACTGACATACCCTATATGATCTTCTAAAGCCAATAGTTCCTACAGATGCCAAGAGAGATTATGACAATAGCGATACTCATCAAACCATTGTCGATCAAGATAGTTAATAAACAAAGAAAGTTCCGATGTGAGAGTGTACCTCATATGACATGCTATCCACATCGAGCCACATTGCTCCATAACGATCACGCATTTCAATCGAGAAGTGCAGAGGTCGTTGGTAAGTAGCTCCAGCGTTCTGCAAGCTATCAGGTGGCCTGTGCATGTATAGAGTCGACTCCATGAGAAGTTGCCTCCACAGATCAATTTGGGTCTCATTTTGGAACCCGTTATCATCAGAAGACGCAGAAGCCTGACCTAATTGAAATGTATAATCTCCGTGTCTTATGTGGGGAGGCCATAAAGATCGAAAAAAATTGTTAGGCATCCCAAAAAGACGTTGAAAAAGATAAAATTGGCGAAGAAGAGGAGCAGATCCAAGAATTAATGTGGCGCAAGTTCCAGAATTGAACTCGTCTGAACCTGGAAAATTAGTATTAGTTCTTCCAATTTGGTTAAGTAATATTGTATGAGATGAGTTGAGGTCTGGAGTGTTGGCAATGCAACTTGTTATGCTCCTTGTGATGGCTGCTGAAAGCGGATCATGTGAGCTCCTTCGAACAATTAAGCTCACAGGTTTTAAAGCTTGATGTGATCCTCGCAGCGAGGACAAAGATGTCTGGAGAAGACGCAAACAATGTGTGAAAAATTGGAAGAACTTGTTAGAAAATTGTGCAACTTTGAAACTGAGGCCTATTGCTTGTGTCACAAGAAATCATATCGGGAATTAAAAAAATAAAACTCAGAAGAAGAGATAAAAAGTGTTTATTAATACTCACCCTCCCTGCAGATCCAAAATTGGCAAGTAAACCAGGATCTTCCCCCGTCTTTTTACTACAATCACATTTTTCTGAATTCAAACATTGACATATTCCGCGAATATAATAAATTACGCGTTGATTTCGCGTACAATCGAGTATCAAGTGGATGTGAAATAATTCGAACTTAATTTTGTTCTTCTAATCAACTTACGTTGGTTCTCGAGGAGGATTAGCATGGGAACAAGTTGCATGCATCGTTAGAACGAGAGGAGAGATTAACTCAAAGCATTAATCAAGCTACTACAATTAATGACACGCCCCGACCCCGATATTCCCCGAATATTAGGATAGGCACGTGCTGGCCAACACCTGAGGTGACGAAAGCCATTTATTGAATACAAGAGTAAAGATTAGGAGAAAATATAAATATAATTCTCAGAAGGTCTAAAGGAAATAAACAGTGCTTAAGAAAGTGGCTAGAGTGCACAGAGCATGTTCTAATTTGAGATTTCAAAAGGAAGGACTATTACAGATATCACACAAGGAAAACGGACGCAGCTATTGGTAGGTGAATGCCTCGTATATTGCGTCGTAGTCCTCGTCCCTAAGACCTGAATGGGGGCGCAAAATAAGGGTGAGTGGACCAAGTTTATATACATACATAATACGAAAACAATTATAAACATACTAACCCCCACAGTTAAGATAATGAAAACTACTAAATAATAAGTGATAGGTTTCTCAAAACCTCTAGCATGCCATAAAAACAATTCATATATCTCTCTGCAAATCAATCTCAGAAAATCATATCACAAATCATATCAGGAAGCATAACACAAGTTGTGTCGCTAGTGAGTGCACTGAATAACAATACTCCCGGCCCAATGCCTGCACCTCAGTCTCTGTGCCCGTAGCCAGAGATATCTCCCTCCCGACCCAATGCCTGTCTCCGTATCCCTCAGCCTTTCGCTAGGGATTATTTCTCCTGGCCTCAATGCCAACACCAGATCCTCGCCTCAGTCGGCATAGTGTTCACTAGGTACGCACAAAACATAATTCATCTCTAAAATACAACTTCGTAGCATAAATTCATCGATCATCTATACTACGAAGAGGTGTTCGAAAGTCATTTGAAACACATTCTTAGTATCCTATCATCATCGATCAAATTGTCTACCAGAATGAGGGTTATATAGAAAATACAATATAATGAAAATAGTTCAAAATATATATAATCAATCATAATTAAATCATCATGCTTCTGTAAAGTATTCCTCAAATCAATCAATCTGCAAGGCATGCTATTAAATTATGCAATTCTATCAATAAAATATGCAATTTTTGAAGGTGGTCCACTCACAGATACTCCGAAGCAGCAGAATTGTGCGGAAAATTATTAAGGAAGTCTCCACTAGCAACTTCACCTAAGCACGAAAATGTACAACTTAATCAAACTACCCAAACAATATAATTCTAGGAAATGGAAATGGGCCTTGGGTTTGGATAGGTTAGGATCAAGAGGTGGTTTGGGCTTGAGCCCAAACCCATACTCACCAACACACACACACATGCAAAGCATGCATTACACACACACTTGCATATACATATACATATATAAACACACACACACACACACAGAGCATGCATAAGCATGCGCTGCACACACACACTTGCATATATATATATATACATATATAAACACACACACACACACACAACATGCATAAGCATGCACTTCACACACACACATAACATGCACCGTACCCCACACACACACATACATGCACACGACATACACTCACACAGCACACGCACACCCACAGCACATACACGCACACGGCCCAACTTCCTACACAAACATACACACACAATTTACGTACATACACAACACATACGCACACACTCAACACTCACACTACACACACACAACAGCTCACAACACACACCTGCACACACACACACGCACACCTTGCAGGGACCAAACATACCAAACACACACTCACGAACTCGCCGGAGTTCGTCATCGGAACCGGACATGCATGCACAAAGGATGGCAAGGGTTAGGGCTTGAATAAAGGGTTCTAAAACCTCACAAATATACCTAAGAACTCACCTGGACGCACTGCAGCAGGTTTTGGGAAGAAATGGACCTCGAACTCGTCGGAGTTCGTCGTCGGAGCTAGATTGTTGGCACAGAGAAAAACTGAGGTCAAAACCCTCGAGTTTTGTCATAAAACCAACATACATAACCCAGAAATTTGAAGAAGGAACACACTTCTCACCTGGGTTCGAGTTTTAGAGCTTTGAAGCATCTCGGCTTCAATGGCAGAAAGCTCCACGATGCTCTGATGGCGCATGCAAGGGTACCATTGAGTTCGTTAAGTTGATAACATTGCTAAGAAATGTAGAAAACTTAGGTATGAAGAAAGATAACGAATATCAGAGAGAGAGAGAGAAGACGATCTTTTGCAACAGATTTTTCTATTACTGTTTTAACTTAATCAATACAATGCAATTCTGCTATTTATACTCATACAAAATATAACACCCTAGATACAAAACTCAACAGCCATTAATAATCACACAAGACAATGCAGCAGTGGACAAAGTAGCAGTAATGAGTGTCATTAAAGCCTTATCATGAATCTTCCAGATTTTATATGCATCAGTTAACAGTTTGTGCATGTTCCACAATATCATTATCAGAATCCGAGTCATCAAAACGTGCAGGACAAGGAATTGAGCCATCAAGAAAACCTCGAATTCCATTACCATCCAATCACAATTCCAGTTGAAAGTTCCAAGTAACATAATTGGAATCATCAAGTTTAACCGTAACAATATTACCAACACTGGGAATCAGTGAGGAAATCGGAGATTGTGTAAGAGCCAATTGAGCAGTGGTAACCATGTTTGTACAAATAACAATCAACAAATCGTGAATCACAAGAGAGTATACCACAGATAGGCGAAAAGAACCAAGAACAAGAATCAAGGAGTAGTAATATCACAGCAGAGAGAGAATGAACAAAAAATCAAGAATCCGCAACAACAATTTCCACATATTAGGATTGCAGTAGAGATCTTCAACAATAATCAGGGATTCAACCGTAACATAGAGAAGAAATCACCTCAGCAACTAGTGACAATGAACAACAGCTCAAGAACACCAAAAATCCCCAATTTCTAGGGTTTTGCAGAGCACCGACTTCGAAGACTAGCGACAGAAATCAGAACCCACCGACTGCGACTAAATCGAAATCCACAACCTGAACACCGACGACGATCGACAAATCACAGCAACAATCCAAGAAAGAGAAAACGAGAGCGGAAGCAAGAAGGATCGACAACCGAAGGTGTTAACCGTATCGGCTCTGATACCATGATAACATTGCTAAGAAATGTAGAAAACTTAGGTATGAAGAAAGATAACGAATATCAGAGAGAGAGAGAGAAGACGATCTTTTGCAACAGATTTTTCTATTACTGTTTTAACTTAATCAATACAATGCAATTATGCTATTTATACTCATACAAAACATAACACCCTAGATACAAAACTCAACAGCCACTAATACAAGGACAAGTGGCATTCTCTACATAACTCTAACATAAGTCTCAAGGATTCCAAATATATAGATATTGGGGTTTGATTTGTGAAGGAAGAGAGGTGAAAGCTAGAGAGAATCTCTCGGAGTTTAGAGAGTGAGAGAGAGAGAGAAGAAACCGAAAGAGAGAGAGCACTGAGATTGGAAAATTGTTTCAGGAAGAGAGGGAAGAAGAGAGAGATCTGAGAGCTGCCACATGGCAATTTAAGAACAATAGAAATTCTAAATTAAGGGTTAGGATTAAAAGAGAATAAGGGACTAAATTGATAGATGACAAATATGTTCTAGGGAAAAATAGAGATAGAATGAAAATATGGGGGTGGGGTTTAACAATTAAAACCTAATTATATGATTACGACTAAAGATTAGTGTAGGAAATGAGAGCCAGAGGGATTAATTATTAGTGAATGAAAATGAGAGAGGGGGAAATTAGGTTGTGACTTTGGGGGTGGCTTAGCGGTTATGGTGGGCGGGATTTGTAACGGTGAGTCTGGAGACGCTTCTCCACCAAATACTAGGGGAAACGAAGGCTGAACATGTAACTGGAAAAAGAGAAAAAAAAACATTATCAGAAGTGCACAATAAACTTTTTAGAGTGCCAATAACATCTCGTTAAAACTTTTATACTTGCGTAGAAATTAATTGTCAAATTATATTTGTTATTTTTTAACTTCTTTGATAAGCGTTGACGTATATTATTGGTAAAAACAAAACTTTATGATAGTTAATTAATAAAAATTCTTATAAACACATAAGATCACATTATTAATGCGGATAACCGTCCGTTAACAAATCCGATAGCGACTGCTAGTGACTTTGCCAGTGCAATCCATCCTTCTACAAGTCAGGAAGATTTACAATGACATTTCAGCCTCTTTTGACCACCATCATGAGATTTATGAGCCCCAGGAAATGGACTCAAAATATGTCGTGTGGGATACATACCTTAAATTCTTTCCTAACCACTGCGTCACCCCATGATGGTTAAAATAATGTTTATTAGGATTATCAATGATCTTTAGATTATTAGATCATGTCAAATGATTTTTCTTCTTAAATTGGATCCTATCACAATTGATTTAATTGATCCGTTTACAATCCTATTGATGAGTAATTTTTAGAGAAATAGTGAGGATAGTTGCTTCATGTAGAAAGAGTGATGGAGGTGGGAGGAAAAGTGAGGATTACCTGGAGAGAAAAAAAAAACGAAATTATTTTTGTGTGATTTGCTATATTGTCCATAACTTTTCTTTATTTTTGTTAGTAGGGGTAGAATGGTATTTTTACTTTCTTTTGATTGACAAAGAAAATTCTACTAAAGAGTAGAAATTATGTATTTATTTATGTAATTACATGATTGGCTGTATAACGAAAGATATAAACACATTACACATACTTATTAAACAAGACGGAATTTTTTTTTTTGGGGCCAGAGGTAGGGAGTCACTCACAAATCACAATCGTGTATGCGCGGAGGCTGCGTCGTATGAACCTACACAACACTTATTTCTTCATCAATTCATGTCAATGAATTAATGGATGTTATCTCAACATTAGTCGTCGTCTTCTTTTTCTATCATCAATCATGCATGAAAAGACAATGAGTAGCTATAGTATTGTCTATCAATCAACTATGTTGGTGTTACACCGTCATATGCCAACTGTGTCAAGACTCAAGGATGTGGAGTGGCTCCAATGCCTGCCCAACTGGTTGAAGAAACCTGTGTATAATTTTCAGCTATCTCCAAGGTTAGTTTAATTTCAACGTTAAGAAGTATTTGTTGCAACAGTGAACATTTTCTTGTACCTTTTTTTATATACAAGCAATATTTCATATATATTACGTTTATTAAAATTACGAAAAAGAATATTCGAACTTAGATGGAATCTTAAGATATTGACAATCTTTCATGAAGCATAGGAGGCAGTTTGAGCTTCTTTGGCGAAAATATTCAGTTCAAATGAGTTACTTGATCATTCAGCATCATTGTAACATAGCATTCATGCCATCAACAATGATTGTAGCATTCGTACTAACCTACAACGCCGGGGTGTTCGGTTGGAGACTTGTTGTCCACAATGTGGAGAGGAGACACAAGTACATCTCTTCTTCAAATGCTCTTTTGCTAGAATTTTTTGGTTTGGTTCACCATTACAGTTGGATGTGGTTTCAGTGGAGGGTGGGGATTTCTTGGAATGTTGGAAATGGTTATGTCGAAAATATAGTGTTGAGGTGGAGGCGGATAAGCTTTTGCGATGGGTGGTGTGTGGTTTGTGGCGTATTTGGAAATGTAGAAATAGTGTGGTATTTGAGAAGTCGGTAGTGGAGCCTCGGGTAGCTTTGGAGCTTATGCATCGTCAATGGAGTGAACTTGAGGGAGACCCCCGGGGGGGGGGGGGGGGGAGCACACACTTGTAGGTGGTCAGCAGCGGCAGGGAGGGGGGGACGGTACATGAGAGATGGGTGAAGCCTCCATTTCAAACAATTAAGGTTAATTGTGATGGAGCTTGGTGTAATCACACGGGAAGGGGTGGATTTGGGTGGGTGGCTAGAGACTTTGCATAAATTTTTCAAGGGGCCGGTGGTGTGGGGAATGTCTTGTGTGAGTCTAGTCTGATGGCGGAAGTGGAAAGGGTGAGGGGGGCTTTGGTGGCTTGTACAGAAAGAGGTTATGGGATGGTTTAAATCGAGACCGACTCGAAGGTTCTTGTGGAGATGTTAAATGGCCTTTTACTGTTGGATGCTAGTCTTGAAGGTGTGCTATGGGACATTGATCACATCAAACAACAATTGAGTTATGTGGAATTTATCTTTACTCCTCGGACCTGTAATGGGGCTGGGCACTTGATGGCGAATTATGTCACACGTATGGGAGGTTCTCACTTGTGGGATTGCTTTGAACCAGAGTGGTTGTTTGATACTCCGGCTATTGATGTAAACCTTTCTATTCGTATTTAATAATATTCCTCTCTTTGACAAAAAAAAATGATTGTAGCATTC